AGAGAGAGTGCAGGATCTGTTCCAGACCACGGCACTGAAGCAAACATCACAATAAAGCAAGTTGCACAAATTTTTGGTTTCCCAGTGCATATAAAAGTTATGTTTATAATATACTGTAGTCTATTAAGTGCAATAGCATTATGTCTAAAAAATGTGTATGCCTTAATTAAAAAATACGGCTAAAAAATGCTAACAACCATATGAGCCTTCAGTGAGTAGTAATCTTTGGTGGTGGAGGGTCCTGCCTCGATGTTGATGGCTGCTGGCTCGTCAGGGTGGTGGCTGCTGAAGGGTGGGGTGGGTGTGGCAATTTCTTAAAATAAGACAATAATGAAGTTTGCCACATCGATTGCCTCTTCCTTTCACAAAAGATTTCTCTGTAGCAGCTGATGCTGTTTGATAGCATTTTACCCGCAGTAGAAGTAGAACTTCTTTCAAAATTGGAGTCAGTCCTCTCAAACCCCACCGCTGCTTTATCAACTAACTTTATGGAATATTCTAAATTCTTTGTTGTCATTTCAACAATGTCTGCGGCATCTTCATCAGGAGTAGATGCCATCTCAAGAAACCACTGTCTTTGCTCATCCATAAGAAGCAACTCTCCTCATCCGTTCAAGTTTTCTCATGAGACCACAGCAATTCAGTCACATCTTCAGGCTCCACTTCTAATTCTAGTTCTCTTGCTGTTTCCACCACATCTGCAGTGACTTCCTCCACTGAAGTCTTGATCCCCTCAAAGTCATCCATGAGGCATGGAATCAACTTTTTCCCAGCTCCTGTTAATGTTGATATTTTTACCTCCTCCTATGAATCACAAATGTTCTGAATGGCATCTAGAACGATGAATCCTTTCCAGAAGTTTTTCAACTTACTTTGCCCAGATCCATCAGAGGAGTCACTATCGATGGCAGCTGTGGCCGTATGAAATATAGTTCTTAAATAATAAGACTTGAAAGTTGAAATTACCTCTTGATCTATGGGCTGCAGGATGTTGTGTTAACAGGCATCAGAACAACATTAATCTCCTTGTGTATCTCCATGAGAGCTCTTGGGTGACAGGTGCACTGTCATTAAGCAGTAATACTTTGAAAGAAATCTTATTTTCTAAGCAGAAGGTCTCAACAGTGGGTTTAAAATACTCAGTAAAGCATGCTGTTAACAGATGAGCTGTCATGCAGGTTTTGTTATTTCATTTATAGAGCACAAGCAGAACAGATTTAACATAATTCTTAGGGGCCCTAGGATTTTCAGAATTGCAAATGAGCACCACTGGCTTCAGCTGAAAGTCACCAGCTGCATTAGTCCCAAACAAGAGAGTCAGCCTATCCTTTGAAGATTTGAAGCCAGGCATTGACTTCTTCTCTCTATGGAAGTCCTGCATGGCACCTTCTAATATAAGGCTGTTTTGCCTGCATTGAAAATCTGTTGTTTGGTGTAGCCACCTTCATCAATGATCTCAGCTGGATCTTTTAGATAACTTGCTGTAGCTTCTGTTAATGCATCCTGCATTGCTGCTTCACCTTGCACTGTTATGTTATAGAGACGGCTTCTTACATTAAACCTCGTGAACCAACCTCTGCTAGCTTCCAGCTTTTCTTCTGCCGCTTCCTCACCTCTCTCAGCCTTCATGGACTTGAAGAGAGTTAGGGCCTTCCTCTGGATTAGGCTTTGGCTTAAGGGACTGTGGAAGCTAGTTTGATCTTCTATCCAGACCACTCAAACTTTCTCCGTATCAGTAATAAGGCTGTTTTGCTTTCTTGTCATTCATGTGTTCATTAGAGGAGCACTTTTAATTTCTTTCAAGAACCTTTGTTTTGCTTTCACAATTTGGCTAACAGTTTGGTGCCAGAGGCCTGGCTTTCAGCCATTATTAAGAATTTGGTGAGAATTTCTCCAGCAACTACATGCACATGCAAACACACACATGAACCGATTTTTATTAATAAAAGCACAAATCATATCAGTCATACTCTACCTGCTATTCTGAAAAAAATTTCCAGTTAATAATATCTTCATGGTTATTTTCCATGTTATCTCACAGATAACATGCCTCTATTTTATTAGCAGTTTAGCATGCCATGGTACCCTCACACCATAATTACGAACCATTCCCTTGCTGACATGTAGGCTGTTTCCACTATTTCAAACAATGCTTCAGTGACCATCCTTGCAAATAATATCCATACATTTTAATATCTTCCTTCTGCAGACAATAAGACCAGTTTTGCTACTATTCCACCATTCTCGCGGTAAAAATTTTAGGCTGTGTAACAGAGGAACGTAACTGGGCAGGCTATTCAAGGTAATGATTTTGGTTAGGGGGTGCCTAGTATGCCTCCGTTATGCCCAGAATGGTGTCTCAAACATAGTGGGCACTCAGTAAATATCTGTTGAATGAGTGAATGAATGAACAAATGAAAGAATCCACATCTACTGTAGACACTTGTTGGGCCTGCCCTGCCATTTATAACAGGATTTCTCAACATCGGCACTGTTGACTTTCAGGGCCAGAAAATTCTTTGTTGTGGGGGACCGTCCCGGGCTCTACTCACTAGAGGCCACTAGCACAGCCCCATTTGCAAACACTAAAAATGGCTCTAGAAATGTTCAAATGTCCTCTGGGGGAAAAAATCACTCCTGATTGAGAACCACTGATTTATCACAGGGATTGGATTGGTATAAGGGCAAAGGCCCTTTCTAAAAACGACTAACTCTAAAAAGGTCAATCTTATTCATACTTTTCCCTGTTCCTCCCATGTTACAATGGCCTTTCTGCCTGGGTTTCCACAGCCCTTTCATAGAGATTCCTGGATGCCTTACTTTTGGTTTAGATCCTGTTTCTCCAGGGCCACCTTCCCTGATGCCTCCCCCATGAGTTAGGTCAGTCCCCATTATCCATTCTCTAATCACCAAGCACCCCTCCTTGGTAGTGCTTATCAAAGTTGAATTCTTACATTTATCTGAGTGTCTGTTAAATTAATCTGTTTCCCTCCCTCAACTCCCTAGAGGCAGCCATGACTAAGAATTTGGCATGTAACATGTCAGTTTTGCCACTGTTTTTATATTAATCTCTAGTGCCCCAAACAAAGCCTGCCATGGTGGGGACTCAATGGGTGTTGGACAGATGGACAGTTGACGACCTGTCCTCAGTCAGCAACAGCCAGCCCAAGGGGCAGCAGTCTTCAAGTCTTCATGGATTTTTTTTGCTCGTGTGCCCTCTAAAACAATTTTTAAAAACAATGTTATCTGTGCCCACATTATAAAATTGATATGTTAATTTTCATGATTAAATGTATATGGTTTCAAGATTATAACTTCTAGCATATTGTAAATATTGGAATTTAAAGATTAAACTGTGACATCATTAAGTGTACCTATGAATCCGTTATTATTATTTCTAATATTCATTTTGATTTGCTTCCACAGTTCTGTCCCTCAATATCAAGAGATAGAAGAGACAACGTTGTTAAATTTAAAAAATGTCTAAATAATCCTTAAAGGAAGATGAATGAAATCATTAAAGGAAGCTGCCAGTTTGGGGACCTAGAGATTTTTACATTTGGGGCAATGGCACCTTTAGTGAGATTTGTGAAGAGTGACAAGTGTGCTTTCGTGTCATACAGCAGGGGAACACAGATGCGTGCTCAGGCAAACCAGTTTTAGGAAAGTGTACCTAAAGAGACGGAAAACCTAGAAACTGACTCTCTGAAAATAATCTTTGGTGTGCTCCTTGGAAAGCCTTGTAGACACCTGTCCTGAGGCAATGCACACTAGTGACCTGCAGAGGGCAGTGTTGGACAAGCTGTCGGGCCCACTCTCTCCCTCAGGGCAGCGGGAAGGGCAGCCCAGCCCTGTGCGAGTCCTGCCCGGGCAGGGCCCAGCCCAGTCCTGCCTGCTGTGTCTGCGCAGTGAATTGTTCCTAGGAAAATGACTCCAGTGAGAATGGAGGCCAGAGACTCTCCATCCTACACCTAGAAGAATCAGGGCCTGGGACTGTAAACAGACAAAAACCTTATTTTCTCTTCCTTTCAAAAACTGAATTTGGGCAATAAATCAAGGATTGAAGTCATGGTTCTGAATCAAAAATAAGGTTTGTCCTTCCTCTTCGAAAATGAAAACGACAGTGAGAGCTCAACAATTTATATCTTCAGGAGACAGTAGGGCAAAGTGGCCAAGAGATCTAACTCTGGAGTCAGACAGGAGCTCACATCTCACCTGACCTTGTTGAAGGTTAGGGTAGGAACCTTCCAGACCTCAGCTTCCCTGGCTGTCAAATTGCAGCGATATTACACTCGTGGTAGGGACGTTGAGATTAAATGATACAACGCGGGCAAAGTGTTCAGCATGTGAATGGCATTTACCGAGAGCTCAGTAAGTAACAGTGGTGATGATGAAGATGATGATTCTGAATTGGCATTTTGTCAAGCATGACTGTTTCAAAACTTGCCATTCACGTCTGAAGAGGAAGAATCATGGGTAAAAAAATCAAACATTTCAATGTCTTAAGTTTTACAAGCCTAAGAGTGAGAAGCAGAAACAGCCGGGGAGGAAGGCAGAACTGATGCATTTTGTTGGAGCCTGCACACCCCCTTCCAGGGTCGGGCTGATCAGAGGGTCTCTGTGTCTAAAATGGTGTGCGTGACGGCCGTGCGACATGACCACCACCAGCCCCAGAAACACCTGCCTTAAAAAAGACATAAAAGTAATGACTTTTTTCATGACATTTATCCTCTGTGAAATCTTAAAGGGTGGTGATCAACTAATTGGGAAAAAAAATGGTTAGCTGGACAAATGGCTTGGATGTACTGAAAGTAAGGCTCGGAGCAAGACCCACCCCTGCCCTTCTGCCTCACCCAGGGAAAGGTAACGGGACTCGTGTTCAGACAGGCATGGAGACAACTTGGATGAGATAATTGTCCTTTTACCTGGCAGCCGTCCAGACCCCAAATAGCTTTCACGTCCAGTCCAAAAATAAGATCACATGAGAAGGAGAGAAATAAATACGCAAGGGCTTGTCCTTGGGCTTTCCGTGGGCACAGCAGCGTCAGCCACGCTTGCAGGGGCCCAAGAGGGCGGCCTCCCTCCCCAGGATCCCCAAGGCTGGGAGGCCAACGCGCCGTCAGGGTGGGTGTGGCGTGTGGTCTCATTCGGCCCTTCTCTTGGGGCTCTGCTGAGCTCCATTCACACCACAGAGGGAGCGGGAGAAAGAGGACAAGTGGATCCCACAGCCTCCACTCCAGGGGCGTAAGGGCATCGCCTCCTTTTCTTGGAGGACACTCCCTCCTGGTGGTGAATGGGAACTCCCTTCCTCCTGCCGCAGCCTGCCTGCAGCGGTCCCGGTTGGACAGTGTGGACGCTTCAGAGCTGTCACTGCCCGGAAAGAAAGCACCCCAGAGCCACGGCAAAGAGGTGAGTGGGTCTGTCTCCACAAGGGGCTCACAGCGCTGCAGACTCTCCGCTTGGCTTCGTGCTTGCGCTCAGCATGAACCGTCTCCCCCACCCCCGCTGCCTTCTCTTTCTCCCTCCCTGGTCTGGGTCTGTGGCAGGCTTGAGTCTACGTGATGCATGCTAGAGTAAAACATTCCTGTACTCCCTTCTCTCATTCAAAGGCCAATTTGCTCCCAGAAAGAACTGGGTAGGTCTGGTTCTTAGTGGGGAAGCAGGAAGTGATTCCTACCAAGTGAATTATCTTTGCTGAGATCCAAAAAGACATTTACCAGGAAATCATTAGGCAAATCCCATTACGATAGCGTTAATGCTTTGTTTTAAAAAGCCCTGCATGAAATAGAAAATACAAGGATGCCAGCTGATTCTTTGTTACTGCTATTGGGCAAAAAGGAAAAAACAAAAATGGGATATGCAGAGCCTCCTTTCCCCCAACACCTCCCTTCCCCATCTCTCCCTCACTCCTTCAGAACCCTGCAAAATATCCCCTTCGGTCGAGGATGAGAGGAATAGAATCAGGGGTGTGGGGAGAATTGCTCTGGAAGCAAAGAGGAAGAGCAAATTTTGCAGAGTCTTCTTCTCCCCCCCAGCGTCTCTGTTACAGATAGAGGTACAGGCTGTCACGTGTACTTGTGTCTATTTAGGGACACATACAGATGCCACTAGTGCTTGAACACGCAGCCAGTTAGCCCGCACACAGACCACCCCTGGGCTATGGACTACAGATATCCACGCTAATGAGACTTCAACAACATCCTCATGGGAACAAGGTAGTTACTCGAATAAGTCGGGATGCTTTAGTGACCATAGACTAAAACCCAGTTTGAAGAGACTTAGGCAAAAAGAGGGAAGTTTTTTGCCCATGTAACTTGAAAAAGCCAAGGTTCTGCTATGACAGGATCCAGGTGCCCGATGAGGGCATCTCGAATCTCTTTCCATTCCTTGGCTTTGCATCCCCCGTGTCGTTCTGTTTCCAGGAAGATTTGCCCGTTGTGGCGCCGAGACGCTGCCAGCAGCTCCCGCTGACACCCTACCAGCATCGCCACCTGCAAAGAACAGGTGCTTGCCTTTCGCAGTAGCTCTAGCTGGAGGCTCAGGGGCATGTCTCACAGCACCAGTGTGGGTGTCGTGCCCATCCCTGACGTGGGAGCAGAGTCCTTCCCATCCAAAAGCCACACGGACTGAAAGCAATGAAGGGGTGGTTCCCCAAAGATAATCGAGGTGCTCATCCCAGGAGAACGGGCGTTAGATGCAGGGTGGCCAAGGTCAATGGTTGCCACTCTGTGTCGCTCTTTTTGCAATGGTCTAGATGAAGGGTCAAAGCTCCTCCAACGTAACTCCTCCTCCCTCCTCCCTCCTGCATGCCACAAAAATTTATTAGTGATAGAAAGTCTCACAGGAAGGATAATAATTAGTGGCACAGGTGAATAAAAGATCCCATGGCATGTCATTTCTAGAGATCCCTGCTAGTAGGAAGGATACCGGGAGGCTTGTCTGTGGCTCAGTGCCCAGCACACCCACCACGCCCAGCCCTGCCTGGGCCCACAGACTGCCTGTGCCCACCGGGGTCTCCCTTCCCCGGGCCCCCTGGTGCTCAGTTCTGTCTCCCTCTCCTCTGCTGATGTGAACTCATCTTGCCCCACAAGGGCCTGCCGTGGGGCTGCCTCCCCTCTGAGGCCTTGTCTGGCCCTTCTAGACTCTTCTGCCGTCTCCCCTCTCTGAACCTGGATGGCATTGACTGTCAGGATTGACGTTTACTGTTTACACATTTCTCTAAGAATTTCATGTATCTTAGTTTCTCTCACAGCATGAATTTTACATTCCTGGGGAGAATTCAGTTTCGTCCCCAGCCCTCTCTGTGGTATCGAACACAGAGTAAGTGCCCGAAAAGTGAGTCCAATTAATTGACCAGAAGAAAACCAGCCTCCCTAAGTAGCTTAGAGGGGAATGGATAGATTGTTTGGGTCTTTAATTCTGACTTTTGAAGTAATACAGGGCAGACGCGGTGGCTCACGCCTGTAATCCTAGCACTCTGGGAGGCCAAGGTCGGAGGATTGCTTGAGCTCAGGAGTTCAAGACCAGCCCGAGCAAGAGCGAGACCCTGTCTCTACAAAAAATAGAAAAATTAGCTGGGTGTGGTGGTGAGCACCTGTAGTCCCAGCTACTCAGGAGGCTGAGGCAGGAGGATCGCGTCAGCCCAGGAGTTTGAGGTTGCAGTGAGCTATGATGACACCACTGCACTCTAGCCAGGGTGACAGAGTGAGAATCTGTCTCAGAAAAAAAAAAGGAATGTGATAACTACAGCAAACAGTGAGCTCGGAATGTATGCTGGAGCCCCTATAGGTGTCATCTCAGGAAATGCTCGCAATGATCCTAGGAGGCAAGAACTGCTATGATCCCATTTAACAGATGGGGAAACTGAGTCTCAAAGAATCAAGTCACTTGTCTTAGATCATACAGCTAGCAAGTAGTGATGTTGGGAGTGTAACCCAGGATGACTGCCATCTCGTTTCCTATTCCATTCACCAGTTATGTGCCTATGAGTGGAATTTCTTGCTGCCTGATTTTAAAGATCAGCGGGCACAGGCGATTGGTCAGAGAGAATGAGGACGTGCAGATATTTCAGACCCCTCTTCTGCCACCTGGGCTCCAGTGCTTCTATGGAGGGGGCTCCTTATTAGATTCTACCCCGGGGTGAGGGAGCCAACAAGAAGGTCAGGGATCAGGGATTTCACAAAAGGAGGAGCTTCTGGGGTCTGAAGAGAGTGGGGTACATTTTAATTAAATGAGGCAGGGTGGTCTTTGGGGAAACATTAGCTGGAGGGTGAGCTTTAGAATTTGAGCTTGCCCCTCTGGCTGCCAGTCACGACACACGGCCCTGCCTGCCCTCCTGCCCCTGGCCAGGGTGCCCGGGTTGGGGGCCCTCCCTCAGAGGGTAGCTGGCAGGATTTGGAAGGCAAATGAATTCTGATCTCAAAGAGAATCAAAATCTTGAGAAAATGATGATTATTTTTTTATCCCATCTGTGCCCCCACATCAAGCCACTGGCCTCTGGGCTAATGTAGGCATCTATATGCTGGCAAACCCCTGGTCCAGGTGTGTCTTGTTTCTTTGATGCACAATAGTCCATTCACCTGCATTCGTACCCTTCAAAAGAGCAAATCCTATAATGTCATTTCATTTATCTTCACAATATCCTATGAGAGGATCAAAGAGCTGGTGTTCTCGGCTTCCTGCTACTGATGGCACAACTGAGGCACAGTGACAGTGAGTCGTGTCCCAGGATTACACAGAAGGTCCTGGATGGGGGATGTAAGAGCTCTGAGGTCTTTAGGAGCCAAGCCTGCTCACTTCTCCAGGAGGTTATGATGGGGGTGGGAGGGATATATATATATATATATATATAAATGAAAATTATTTCAGTAAATCTTTAAGAGAGAAAAAGACACTTCTAGACCCAAGAGAAATGAAAACATACGTTCACATACAAACGTGCACACGAACATTCATGGCAGCATTATTCATAATAGTCAAACAGAGGAAACCACCCAAGTGTCCGCTGATGAATGAATATATGAAATGTGGCATATGCATACGTGAAATATTATTCAGCAACAAAAAGGAAAGAAATGTCGAAATGTGCTACAACGTGGATAAACCTTGAAGACATCATCCTAAGGGAAAAGTGTTCAGCTTGTATGATTCCATTTATAAGAAATGGCCAGAGCAGAAAACCTATAGAGACAGAAAGCAGATTAGTGGTTGCCTAGGCTTGGCAGGAGGGGAGAATGGGGAGTATTGCTAATGGGTATGGGGTTTCTTTTGGGAGTGACAAAAATATTCTAAAATTATAGTGGAGATAGCCACACAACTTTGTGAATATACCAAAACCACTTAATGGTACACTTTAAGTGGGTGAACTCTATGGTATGTGAATTATATCTCAATAAAGTTGTTTCAAAACCCAAACCACTGCTAGTGAAATAATGAGCCCAGTGATGGGGCTGTACTGAAGGATGTGGTCTCGCCCCGTCTGCTCTGATAAGGTATGTCCTGTCCCATGGGGCTTGCCTGCAAGCCACTTGCTCAGTTCCAGTGGGAAGAAGGTGGATGGGAAAGATGGAATTCATAGAGTCTGAACCAGGAAAACCTTTCTTCCTCTTTCCTGTACAGATCATTTATGTTTTATGGAATCAATTTCACTGTTTTATTTTCACTTCTGGGTTTCAAATCATGCTTCAAAAAGTCTTCCCCACTCTAAGATTATAAATCTTATTAACTAATGTTTTCCTGTAATGCTTTCCTCTAATGTTTTCCTCTAAGGTTTGTCTTCTGACATTTAAACCTCTGATTCATCAGGAACTTAAATAATAAACTGGGATCAACACTGGGCCTTTTTATTTGTTTGTTTCTTTTACCAAATAGCTAGCCAGTTATTAAACCAGGAGTTCTTAACCCTGGGTTAAAATGGGCTTGGGGTATCTTGTAACTTCCTGAAATGAAATGTAAAAAAATGTGTTACTGTGTGTTGCATACACATTTATTCTTCTGGGGAATAGGATTATAGATCTTGTCAGATTTTCAAGAGGTTTTGTGACTCAGAAAAAACCTGCCCGGGGTCCGGGTAGACCAGTTGTGTACACGCCGATGCAGCGAGACTGGGTCTGAATGGACAGGGAGGTTGTTAAACCATTGCAGAGGAGACCCAGGTGATGAGTACTCCTGGGGGGGAAGCTCTCTGTCACATGCCAAGTGACAGTTGCACCACCTTTTGGTTTGATGTTCTGCTGAGGCAGAAAATGAGTGACTCTCACCGGTTCCCCCTGGGCCTATAAAGCTTTAGGTTTTTAATCACCAGCTGGCAAATCGATGGAGAGAACTCATTTTAGCTGACAAAACTTGGGGCCCACCTGTCACAAAGACTTTGAGGAGGCTCACATATAACTAAACGATAAATGGAAAAT